GAAAGTAATCAGGGGTCTGAGGTTGTAGCTCAGCGGTAGATCTCTCTTATTTAGCATGTGTGAGGCACTGGGTTCAATTCTCAGAACTATATATAAATAAAACAAAGGTCCATTGACAACTAAAAAAATATTTTTAAAAAAAGGTAATCAGGCACTCAAGCTTTTCACATCAGGTTATATTTTCCTAAGTAGAACAGATTTTATGAAAGTATGTAATCACAGACGATTGCTGGTTTATACTCAATCTCTTTTCTTGTCTGTTACTAAGATTAATGACAGGTTAGTGTTGCTATATATATGTGCTATGCTTCAATTTTCAGTGAAAAAGTAATCCTATTTTTGTTTTGCTTTTTTCCAAATAGTTTTAAACCCAATGAAGGAGTAATCATTATAGAAATCACAAACTTCCCAGAGACATTAGATAAACCATCGAAGAATTTTTTTTAAATATTTATTTTTTAGTGGTAGTTGGACACAACACCTTTATTTTAATGTGGTGCTAAGGCTCGAACCCAAGGCCTTGCACTTGCTATGTGAGCGCTCTACCACTGAGCCACGCCCCAGCCCTCAAAGAAAATTTTTGTGAGGTATTATTACCTACTATAACATTATGCCAAGAGAAGAAGCCCATTGCAAAAGATCACATTGTAGGATTCCAGTGGTATGAGATGTTCAAATAAGCAATCCACACAAATTAGATTAGTGATTGCCAGAGGTTTCGGAGGATGGGAGTGAGGGGAAACTACCAATAGATGTGGGGTTTCTTTTGGTGGGGACCAGGATATTTTGAAATAGATTGAAATGATACATTTCAACTCATTCACTTTTCATTCTTGTGGTATTTTTTTAGGGGGGGGAGGGGTACTGGAGCACTTAACTACTGAGCCACATCCCCAGCCCTTTTTTATATTTTATTTAGAGACGAGGTCTCACTGAGTTGATTAGAGACTTGCTAAATTGCTGAGGCTGGCTTTGAACTCATGATCCTCCTGCCTCTGCCTCCTGAGCTGCTGAGATTACAAGCATGTGCCACCATGTCCGGCTCATTCTAGTTTTTAATTCTGAGTTTATGGTAGATAAATTTTTGCATGTATGCTCCTGTGTCAGGATAAAGACTTTACTTTTTTAATAAGTTTTATTGAGACATAATCACATACCAAAATCTACTTCTTTATAGTGTACCATTTACTAGTTTAGTATTCTTTACAAAATTGTGCAGCCATTTCCACTATCTAATTCCAGAATATTTTCATCAACCCACCAAGAAACCCTGTACCAAATAATGGTCAGTCCCTACTCCCTCCTTCTTCCCAGCTCCTAGAACTGCTGATCTACTTTCTGTCTCTATGGATTTACCTGTTTGGGATGTTTCACACATTACATTAGTTTGAATTAATTGAGTCTGCTTGATACTAATATAACTCATACATCTATTAACTAAGAAGAAATGTTTCTTAAATTGATAATATAACTACTGTATCTATTACCAAGATGAAATGTGTTTATCTCTTAAGATGATCCTCATATTCCTCCAAAAATGAATAAGGTCAGTACAAATAGCTCCGTATGACTAACCATGTTTTTATAATCTGAGTCTCTGGTTTTTCCCTTAATTGTATGCAGAAAAAATATGCCCTTATATATCTTGTCCTGTGAAGGTAATGACAGTGAAAGTACAATTGTCCTTTAGTATCCATGGAGATTGGTTCCAGGACCCTTACCCCAGGCCAAAACCTACAGATCTTGAGTCACTTATATTAAATGGCACAGTGCTGACATACAACCTGGCATACAACCTCCTCTATACTTTAATTATAGCATATATACTTTGAATTTAGTACACTTGCTTATACTACTTAATGCAATGTATGTGCTGTGTAAATAGCTGTTGTAGTGTATTCTTAGAAATTAATGAAAAGAAATAAACAGGTACAGTTGATGTTTACAGATAAAACTTTTCCCCAAAAATTTTAACCCATGGTTGTCAAATCCAAGGATGCAGAACCCCTGAATACAGGGTGCCTAGTTTTTTCTATACAGCTCCTTTCCAGTGACAAAGAGAGGAATTAGGAGAATGGTGTTATATAGTTTGTGAACTTAACATCACAAACTACATCATACCCTCCTTCAGTCCTTGCTCCTGTTTTCATAGCAGTGTTGACTGAAATGAACTGAGGAAGAGGGAAAGCATTGTACTAGTAGTTAAGAAAGCATCGGAGGGCTGGGGTTGTGGCCCAGTGGTAGAGCGCTCGCCTAGCACATGTGAGGCCCTGGGTTTGATCCTCAGCACTACATATAAATGAGTAAATAAAATAAAGGTATTGTGTCCAACTACAACTAAAAAAATAAAATATATATAAAAAAGAAAGCAGCAGAGAAAAATGTTTCTTTTTATTACACAAGGCAACATTTTAAATAATGTTAACCATCTAAAATGTTTTAAGTAAATATATTCTTATAATTTGCTTCCAAGTTACATTTCATTGGTAAGAATGCTATTCCAGATTGATTATGAGAAATAGGTTTTTCCACAATGTATTTGTGGTACATAAAGTTTATCTTCATGGAAGATTAAATGTTGAGCAGAGAAAGGAAAACAGGCAAAAATAAGGAATGAATTCATTGCTTTTTAATTTATGTTACCATGGTTACCTGACCTTAAGCCAAGCTCATGCTGGTGACAAATATATTTGTTTTAACATTCTGCCTGTTTTTGCTATGCTACATCATGGACTCAGCTGAATTCTATTTATTCTCAGCACCTCCATAATTCATTGCATACATTCACTCTCCAGTCCCAAAACTTTGTACCAGTTTCTTCTATTTATCCGCCTTTTTCAGTACCCTAACCCTGTATTCTGCCTGTTTTCAGATATAATTTTCTATAGCAAAGCCCTTTTCCTACTTGTGCTAGGAAAACAAAAGTTCAAGGTTGTGACTGTTAGTCTCTTCTTTTCCAAAAAAACCCAAAAAACAAAAAACAACACATTAATCAAAAAGCAAACAGTTATTCCAGGGTAAGTTTGAGAAACTCATAACCGGAACCCTGCACACTACCCTTTCTACTGGTATTTCAGATGGGGAATGTGTGCACATGTGCTCACAAACACACCCACAGAAATGGAAATGATTGGCAGACAGTAATACACATGGACCCTGAACTGTTTTCTTCTGATTACAAGAAATGAAGAAATCTCTGGTCCTCTCTTTCCTAAGTGCATTTCCTTTCTACATTCTGAGTTCACCCCAGGGAAAGGCAAGCTGCCAATCTAACAGGACAATAAAGTCCCATCACGTTTTATCTCTCAAGGACAGTGGATAAAGGCACTTGGATTTTCCCAAAGCATTGATGGTTTGCTGGCAGGGAAGATAGCAATGACCCTTTGGAGTCAAAAGGAAGTTCATTTCTCCAACTTTTCCAATTCTAGAATCTCTTTTGCTTAGTCCTGTGGGACATCAATGTGTGAATAATCTTAAGGGTCTCTGGGGCTTGTGCCTTTTAGTCATAAATTAGTGCCTAGAATCATCTGAAGAAATGGTGCTTCCTGTAGTTATTCTTTTTTTGAGAGAGAATTTTTTAATATTTATTTTTTAGTTCTTGGCGGACACAACATCTTTGTTGGTATGTGGTGCTGAGGATCGAACCCGGGCCGCACACATGCCAGGCGAGCGCGCTACCGCTTGAGCCACATCCCCAGCCCCGAGTTATTATTTTTTTATTGTTGATAGACCTTTACTTTATTTATTCATTTATTTATATGTGGGGCTGAGAATCAAAAAACCAGTGCCTCACACATGCCAGGTAAACTCGCTACCACTGAGCCGCAGCCCCAGGCCTGGCCTCTAAAAGCATCTCTTCCACACACTGTTTCAATGGTGCTGCAGACTTGGAAAGTACACTTAAAACATTTTATTGTCACATCAAAAAGGGATCTTTCCTACCCATTCCCATCCTCATGTTTTAAAATTCTTAATTCATAGAATAGGAAAAAAATACATCTGAGCAAAGGTGTGGAAATATATTTTATTTTTCCCGAATACACTCCTCACTTATGACAAGGTATAGATCAGCCTATATGAATGATGAGTTATCCTAAATTTGATTTATCCCATAAATCTCAAGAAATGGTTCAGGTTGACCTTTGCTTATCCTTGCTAATCTCTTAACTGAAATTAATCAGCCCTTTCTGGGTATTTAAATGACAGTGATTCTTTTACACTTAGGAAAACAAGCATGGCAAACTGGTAGTCCTTTCACTGACTCACAAATTGAACAAGCCACAGAGCTGAGAACACAAAAATAGTGTTTAATCATCTTGAGCCCCACTGAGATTCAACTGCCTCAACAGAACCTCACTACCTCTGGTTTATGGCAGAGTACTTCCAGGAAGACCCGAGTTCCCTCCTTCCTCGACCTTTCAGATGACTTAAAGAAATACAAGTTTTATTTGATTACCATATATAAGAATGGACCTGTACACAAATTCAGAAATGTTATATTGCACAATTTTTCATAATTCTGGGGGATAAAAAGTAACTCAGTAGTGATTTGAAACTTGCTACATATTTTCAGTACTAAAATAAAGACTTTCACCAAAATTACCCCAGGCACATTTTGGCAGACAGAAAACACAGCATTAACAAGCCATGTACCAGATGTTTGCTCCTAAGGCCTGAGAGAAAATGAGTGATCAAAGGTCTACATCCACACTAATCTTCATGCTTCCCTCTGATTTTTATAGTTGACATCTCATCTGTTTTTCCTATCACAATGGCATTCTTTTAAAGATAGGGGTCCCATTATGTTGCCCAGGTTAGCCCCAAACTCCTGTGCTCAAGTGATCCTCCTGCTTCATGTTCCCAGGTAGCTGGGACCACAGGCCTGCACCACCAGAGCAGCTTACACTGGCATTTTTTTTTTTTTTAGAGAGAGAGAAAGAGAATTTTTAAAATATTTATTTATTTTTAGTTTTTGGCGGACACAACATCTTTGTATGTGGTGCTGAGGATCGAACCCGGGCCGCACGCATGCCAGGCGAGCGCGCTACCGCTTGAGCCACATCCCCAGCCCTACACTGGCATTCTTGATGGCCCTTTATTAGAAACTCTTTTTCATTAATATTGCTGATAGAGCTGTCTTGTTGTGGGTTAGCTTGAGGTTGTCCTTCTCACCTTTATAACGGATCTCTGGTATGCCCTTCAGCAATCCAAGGAGGGATCTCAATGGCTTTACCTGGGCTAATTAGGCAGGGAAGAACAGGCATGTTTTTCCACCCACTCCTTAATCAGTTGGTGGGCAATGGCTAACTTTGGGGGCAAGAGAAATGGGAAACTCTGATTCTGTTGCTGAATAGAGGTGCCCTTTCTCTTCAGGGCTGCAGCCACCTCAGCATAACTGAACCAGGCAGCTGCCTCTAGTTCTCTCAAGTTCACCTGGATCTGAAAGACATGAGGATAAAACAAAGTAAGATTAGGAACTATAAAATTTAAAAAGACTATGGCCAAAAATAAGAAAATGACTACCTTGGAAGGTAACACCCATCTACAGGTTAAATGAAACTCAGTTCTAGATATGACCCAGACACAAGAGGAGTACAACTAGGAATGAGATTTAAATGCATTTGAAAAAATAACAGTTTTTTAAAATAGGATACTTTAAAAAAATCCTGAAAATATAATGGTAGGAGTATATATAGCTCAGTGGTTCTGCATGTGCTTCATATGCAGGAGATCCTGGGTTCAAAGCAAGCCCCTCCCCATCAATTCTGGAAGTACAAATATTAAAATATCAAGAGTAGTGGTTAACAGTGAGTGGTAAATTATGAATAATACTTGTTTTACTTTGTGCTTCCATTGATTGTATGATTGAATTAAAAGATAACTTACAAATATTACTATTTTTGTAAAGATTAAGGGTTAATGGTAATCAAAAGCACAGTATCTTCTTTGCAGGAAGCAAACAAATGCAAACTTTGTCCACAGGAAATCAAAACAGAATATTCTATTAAAATCAAAGCATATAATGGGCACACTTTGGCTCGCAAGGACCACAGTGCTATTATCAGAGATGCCACAGATGAAAATGAGTGAGATGAGCTTAGATAAGACAACATCTAAGCACCTTTAAACCAGAAGTTCCTATAATTTTATATCGTTAGCCCCCAAGATCCTGACTAACTTGAGCAATGAGATGAATCCTAAAAYTGGTCATTAAATTTGATATATGTATTTTATGCCTATTATTTAAGGTACTAGTATAATCTAAAGATGAAAAATAAAAATTTATCAGATAAATGATGTTGAAATGACTGCAAAAGAATGAAATTGGATCCTTACTCATGCACCAGATACCAAAAAACAAAACAACAACAAAACCTGAAACCATAAACCACTTAAAAGAAAACATAGGGAATGAGCATCTAGACCCTGGACTRGGCAATGAGTTTGTAGATAAGACATCAAAAGCTAGGCAACAAAAGCAAAAATAGGATTATATCAAACAWAAAAGCTTCTGCAAATAGATGAACTCTAGATAGGGCAGAGGGTTGGAGGGGAAGGGAGGGGGCATGGGGTTAGAAATGATGGTGGAACACGATGATCATTATTATCCAAAGTACATGTTTGAAGACATGAATTGGTGTGAATATACTTTGTATACAACCAGAGATATGAAAAATTGTGCTCTACATGTGTAATAAAACTTCTAATGCATTCTGCTGTCATATATAAATTTTAAAAATTTTAAAAAAGTTTCTGCACAGGAAAGGAAACAATAAAATGAAAAGGCACTCTACAGAATGGGAGGAAATATTTGCAGACCATTTATATGATAAGGAGTTAATATCCGAAATGTGTAAGGAACTCTTACAATTCAACAGCAAATAGCCCAATTAAAAATGGGCAAAATGCCTAAATAGGCATTTCTCCAATGAAGAAATACAAATGGACAAAAGATATATAAAAAAATGTTCAATGGTACTTATTACCAGGGAAATGCAAATTAAAACCATGGTGAGATATCATCTCATACCTGATAATAGCTAGCAACAAAGGAAAATGAATATTGGCAAAGATGTGGGGGAAAAGAGAATCCTGTACATTGCTGAAGGAAATTTAAATGTGTATGGTCACTATAGAAAACAATATGGAGGGCTGGGGTCGTGGCTCAATTGGTAGAGYGCTTGCCTGACATGTGTGAGGCACTGGRTTTGATTCTTGGCACCACATATAAGTAAATAAATAAAGGTCAATCAACAACTAAAAACTTAAATCTCCATATTGTTATCTTTTTTTAATCAAAACATTAAAAATAGAATGATCATTTAATCCAGGAATACTACTTCTGGGTATATATCTAAATGAAATGAAATCTGTCTTTTGAAGGAATATCTGAACTCCTATGTTCACAATATCCAGGATATGGAAACAACTAAAATGTCTATTAAGGAATGAATAATGTGGCATATACTGATGATGCAATATTATTGAGTCTTAAACAAGAAGGAAATCCTGCATTTGCAACAAGGTGATGGACTGGAGGGAAGGCTAAGTGGAATAAACCAAATACAGAAAGACAAATTTTGTGTGATCTTACATGTGGAATATAAGAGTCAAATACATAGAAACAAAGAGTGGAGTGGATGGAGGGAAGGGAATATAGAGAGGTGTTGGTCAAAGAATATAAAATAAATACACAAAATATAAAATAATATACAATATAAGTTATGGAGACCTGTACAACATAGGGTCTATAGTTAACAGTACTATTTTGAATATATTAAAATTTGCTAAAAGGATAGATCTTTTGCAAATGGCTCTTACCACAAAAGAAAAAAAAAAAAAGGAGACAAGAGGAAACTTTTCGAAATGCTGGGTAAGTTGATGACATTCATAAAGATTAATAGATGGCTTCATGGGGTATATTTATCTAAATATCCATCAAGTTGGATATATTAAATATCTATAGCTTTTTATATGCTGATTATACCTCAATAGTTAAAAATATAAAGAAATTGTCTTATGATTGATATATGTGCAAGGGAGAGTGGCAATTATTGGTTTCCTTTACTAGAATGAAAATTCTTTGAGGGTATAAATTGAATCTTACATATCACTGTATAATCTACACCCGCTGGACTAGACTCACTCACTAGCTCACTGACTACTTGCAGACCAGCAGATTAGATGAAGCAAAGGAAATATCCCAGAGTAAATGAAAGGCAAGAATTTACCTCTGTCTGCCCTGGTTTCACGGTTGCATGACAAGCAATCATGAGTGAGCTGTTAGGAAAGGGCCAATGCTGGGATGCAGAGTACTGTAGTCTTTCCAACTCCAGTCCCACCTCCTCTGCAACTTCCCTTCGGACAGCATCTTCCACACTTTCACCTGCAAGAACTCAGATTAATTCAGGACAGTTCCGTAGCCAGAAGTTTGCATCATGTTTCTGTACCATGATAGCCCATTGTGAAGAGAGTAAAAAACTGGCTCTAAAGTCTCAATAAAATACTCTTGGGAGGTCCTCAATATCTGAGTTTCTCTCTCTCTCTTTTCATATATATATATATAATCTATCTATATAGATAGATTATATATACACACATACACACCTATTTTTTTTTTTTTTGGTACCAGGGATTGAACCCAGGACTGCTTAACCACTGAACCATATCCTCCACACTTAAAAAAAATATTTTAGAGACAGGATGTCACTAAGTTTTTTAGTGCCTCACTAAGTTGCTGAGGCTGGTTTTGAGCTTGTGATCCTCCTGCCTCAGCCTCCCAAGCTGCTGAGATTACAGGCATGTGCCACCGCATCCAACTCCTACTATAGTTATATATTATAACTATATTATATAAGGGCTTCAATGGGAGAGGCTACTACTGCCCTTACCTTTAATAAAAATCTCACTTTTCACCATTTTTAAGTTTTGCTCCAATAAACAAAGAAAGAAAACAAACAACAACCCTATAAATAAATATGGAAATCTTAGTTAGTACTATGCATGCTGAAGTATTTAGAGAAAAGCATACTAGGTCCACAATCTGTACATCAGAGATAAAATGAATTGATGGATAGATGAATGGATATGTAATAAAATTAGTGGCATAAATAAGTATTGACTCTAGGTAGTAGCTGAATGGGTGTTCACTATGTAATCTTCTTAACTATGCTGTGTTTGAAATTTTGCCTAACACAATATTGGAAATTCATAATGCCAGAAGGCAGTTTTCTTGATATAATAGGAAAGATGGTGCTTGAGATTCAAAGAAGTATGGTAACAAAACAGAGAAATATCGACTATTAATAAGATTTTCTGTCTCCCACTATCACCTGTATATCCCCCCACACTTCTTACCTATATCACAAAAACCTGCCAAAGCAGAATATAGTCCCTTGGGAAAGGAGTGCTGGCGGGCAAGCAAACACCGGGTCCCATCAGACACCAGAGTGATCACCACAGGAGCCATCTAGAGAAGGAGAACAGAAATTAGACACTGGCACTTTGGGGCCTGCTAACTGGGCCTGCTAACTTCCTTAATTATCATTAAGGAAGCCTTTTTCTACTGAGCCACATCCCCAGCCCCTATTTGTATTTTATTTAGGGCCTCACTGGGTTGCTTAGGGCCTTGCTAAATTGCTGAGGTTGGCTTTGAACTCTCAATCCTCCTGTCTCAGCCTCCCTAACCACTGAGATTACAGGCATGCATTATCATGTCCAGCTAAGGAAACATTTTAATTGTACAGGACAGTGTAACTCACAGCCTTCTTGGATTACTGTTCCCTCAAAGCAACCCTTACCTGTGGATAATAGATTATCTTATTGGAAGAACACACACGCTTGCTGCCAGCCATGTTCTTCTTGGTGGGCTGCCCACTTCTGCTGCAGAACTGATGACCATCATGCCAACGGAGAAGAGATTGAGCCTAGAAATACAGAGAGGGGCCTGGTTTCACTTGGAGAGAATAAGGTTCATCCACAACATCATTGGGCCTGATATCTAGAGCAACATAGAGGGAAATGCTAATCCCTTTCCACCTCACTATCTTTAACTGATTACTAAGATAAGGAAACTATCTGGATATGTTCCCCTAGCATCAGAAATATGAATAAAAGGAAGCACAGAGTGTATTATGATTATTAAATAAAATATAAAAAGATAACAAGCACCCATGTATTCATGACCAGCTTAAAAAGAAAACATTTTCAGTATAGGTGAACACCCCCACGTATTTCTCTTTAATAGGCTGGATTTTTTTTTTTTTTTTTACAACTAAGTGTTCAGAGTGTTTAAATCAAATAGACAATCAAAATGCCAAATGAAGTAGAATCTAAAGCAGTGAGGACAAGTTATTAAAACAATTCAAAAATTATTTCTCAGGCTAAAGACATTCTGTATGTCCTTCTGTGGGCCAATAATAATGTTTATGAGGCTGATGGCTCTCTTGCCATAGATCTGCATGTCCTTAGGAGAAAAGAGCCTTGATAGCAATTCTGCCAAAAACAAGGGTAAAATAAAGAAGCAGCAGCAAACTTCCTACAACACATTATCCTGCCAAGGTTTGTAGGCAGGGCTATGATCCACAAAAGAAGAAATCAAATGTCACTCTAGTCTTGTGTAGCACACATGGATTTGATCCAACTTTATTAAATTTCCTACAGGGCTGGAGATGTGGCTCAGCGGTAGCCCGCTCGCCTGGCATGCGTGCGGCCCGGGTTCGATCCTCAGCACCACATACCAACAAAGATGTTGTGTCCGCCAATAACTAAAAAATAAATATTAAAAATTCTCTCTCTCTCTCTCCTTTCTCACTCTCTCTTTAAAAAAAAAAATTAAATTTCCTACAGAATTGATAAATCAGAACCTACCGTGAATAACAAGGAGGAATCCACTGGATTCAGTTGAAAGAGAGCCTTCCTCAGCTCAACGAAAGACCCCTTGAGTTCCGTCTCCAATTCAGATTTTGGTAAGGAGGCTAGAAAATCAGAAGAGAGAAGGAAATTAAACAATTGTCAAATCTGTCTCTAAGCCCCTACCCCAGTCTATCTTGATAGATCAGTGTTTCCCAAACTTGCCTAATAAGACTCAACTGGGGAAAGTAAAAAAAATATACAGGTTCTCAAGCTCCTACCTGGAGATTTTGAAGCAGCAGGTGTGGAGTGAGGCCCAGAATTCTTTCTTTCTTTATTTAACAAGCACCAGGTGATTCTTATGGTCAGGCCAGTTTGGGAAACATTAGAGCATAGTATTTCTCAAGATCCTCTTCAAAGCAATAAGCCCATTTGAATTAGCCACGACACTCTCCCTAGAAAAGAGATGAAATGGACCTCTAAATTCCTCTCTGAATCTCATTCCAGCATCATTACATTTACACCCAGACCCTTAAAAAGAGAGAAGGAAAGTCTGATAGGAGCCATAAATCTAGAGCAGAGTGGTTCCCACCTGATGCTCTGGGGACCCAGATCTACTCCATGGTAACACTAATTTCTGTGCATTGGTAAGAGCAATACTATGATGATATGAATTTCAAAACATTTCTTATAAAATATTTAAGACTTAAAATGTGTCTACAACATGTATACTCAGAAAAATGAGAAATTATATCCCATCTATGTATGATATATTAAAGTGCATAAATGCAAAAAAAGTATAAATACAATAAATATCTGTGTACCCACCACTTAGCTTAGAAAGCAAATATTAAAAAAATGTCCTTTATTTTCTTTTAAATGATAGAAATTTTTTTACCTTACTAAAAAAAATTAAAAGTTGATAACTTTTGTACTCCTAAAATTTTTCTTGAAATATTATTTTGTGAAATCTCAAAGTCTGAGAATTGCTGAGAAGTACCCACTAGAAAGTGTTATGTACCATATGTGGAAGAGGAGCTATTCAGACCTAGATCCAGAGCAAACCATGCTTCATGCTGTTCAGAGCATCCAATCAGCACCGAATCTTCTATTCTTTGTGCATCCTGTCCAAACTTACCCAGGAGCCTTTCCAATTCTAAGAAACAGAAAGGGAGAACATACACACATAACAAACAAACAAACAAGCAAACAAAAACAAGAGTTTCAATAATATCACCAAAGCCAGATCAGACTTATAGAAAATCATCTACTTTAGCTTGAACTAACTATCTAGTTGCCCCTCAGTATTTGTGGGGGACTGATTATAGAACCACCCACAKATACCAAAATCTGCAGATGCTTAAGTCTCTTGTATATCCTTCCATAAACTTTAAATCATCTCTCTATTACTTGAAATCACCAATACACTACAAATGTTAAGTAAACAGTTGTTATATGTATGGTTTAAGGGAAAATAACAAGAAAATGTCTATACATGTTCAGCACAGTCACAATTAAAAAAAATTATTTTGGCATCCACAGTTATTTGAGGATATGGAGGCCAACTGTGTTTAAAGTCACTGCTCTGTAGCTAATTAGCTGTGTAACATTCATTGGTTAATCACTTTACTTCTTTGGCCTCCAATTTCTCAACCACAATCTGAGGAATTCTGTATATATCTGTTTACGATTGTATGATGCAAGGAACATACCTCTTCATTCATAAAATGAGTGACAGTCAACTTCTTTAGGCATTGAAAAAACTGTTTACTGCCTTCTAATGGAGCCCTTGTATTTGTTGGAAACTACCCATGCAAGTACTCCAACATCTGATCCATGACAGAAATTTACTGGCAATGTATTTAGAAGTTAGCCAGTATATAGTGACTTGTTATATTTATGTATCAATATAAAACTGAAAGTTAATATTTGAATATCCAATCCCAGCTGGGTGCTATAGTACAGGCTTATAGTCCCAGGTAYTCAGAAGGCTGAGGCAGGAGGATTGTTTGAGCCCAGCGCTCAAGACCAACCTGGGCAACATAGTAAGATATTGAGATCCCATTAAAAAAAAAAAAAAAAAAAAACACTAAATCCCAACTGCTTAGATATCTATATTTATACAGACTAAAAAAGAGTTCTCTAAACAAATTAATTTTAATTCACTTTAAATTTTGATCTTAGGAGACACATGCCTGTAATCCTAGTGTCTCAGGAAGCTGAGGCAGGAAGATCATGAGCTCAAAGCTAGCCTCAGCAAAAATGAGGTACTATGCAACTCAGTGAGACATTGTCTCTAAATAAAATACAAAATCAGGCTGGGAAGGTGGCTCAGGACAGAGTGCCCATGAGTTCAATCCCCAGTACAAAAAAAAAAAATTATCTAGTAAAAACTAAAAAAGGATGCAAATTTTAAACAGTAAAACAATTACAACTCCATGGAAGCTGGAAATCACCAGTGTAAGGCAGAGGTTGGCAAACTTTCTCTATAAAGAGATACTAATTAATTCAGGCTTTGTGAGTCATACAGTCTGTCACAATACTCAGCTGCCATTGTGTGGCAAAAGCAGCCATCAACAGTATGTCAACGAGTAACTGTGGCTCTGTTCCAGTAAAAATTTATTTATAGGGGCTGAGGATGTAGTCCAATGGCAGAGTGTGTTCAGCATGTATGAGGCCCTGGGTTCAGTCCCCAGCACTGAAAAAAACAAATGTTTTTACAAAACAGGCAGCAGGTTCCAKTTCATAGCAGTTTTGTTGACCTCTGGTTTAAAATATTAGAGTTCATATCATCACCTAATATTTGACTGATCAACTAAGGTTGTCCATACAATAAATGACTAATTGGCAGAAGCAGCTGTAAAAGCTTGAGATGCAGAAGCTGTTTGAAAAATTTGGATGCTAAAGTCCAAGAATATTTCTCTGAGATCCAATATGGACTGAATTCTGCTTAGTGGCCACAGGTGATCTACTCTACCTGTCCACATTGGGCTTACCTAATAGGTTAAGCCGGGGGACCAGGTGTTGATGTCCTGATGGCTGAAGCAAAGGAGCCAGGCTATGAAAGAGGTAAAATGCTCCTGTCTGCTGGGCTTTTCTGCATGTGTCATCATCTTCTTTCAGTTCAAATAAATACCTGCATTTGGGAAATAATTAAGCCATTACAAGACCATACTTACTAGCATAGCATATATTTTTGAGAATTCTGTTCCTGCATCCCTCTCCCACCATGGTTATTTTCCCTTTACTTATTTATTTGCATTCTAATGTGCTCTATAAAGGATCTGAGGTGGCTACAGGCAATCACTGCTTCTGTTCTTCATTCTACTGCACCCCTTGCCCACACTTCTGTGGGTGCACTGTCACACTATTTRTTCATTTGACTCCCCTGGAAGACTTTGATCTTCTTAAGGGCAGAGTCTGCCTTTCTCAGCTCTGCACCTGTCATTAGCATACTGAATGGCTCAATTTGATAAATATTTATTGAACCTCGAGGGTAATAAAATATTTACTGAATGAACCTCAAGGAACTTTGCCAATATTATACTGTGAGGCAAGAATTTACAGGCAGTGGAGTGAAAGGAAAACAGGTACCATAATGAAACATCAACCAAAGAATACCTAGAGAAAGGAGCAGACTTGATTACTGCAGAYGGCCAAGGAGCAGACACTATACCTTCAGGAGCTTTCATTTGATCGAGCAAAGATAAGACACACATTTATCTTCAGTGTACCCTGACTTTAAACATCTAGCTCCAAAAGTAGACACTATTGGCGGCTTATCTATTTTGAAGGGACYACTGATGAAGCCTATATGTGACTTGTTTAATGAGGACGATATTTTCAATAGCCAAAATAAAAATGTGGGAAAACAAACATCCTTTTATTGATTTCTCAGAAAGAGATAAAATGGAATTCTAGGCTTTTCCAATATCTTTATTAAGGGTGGTCTGATCTCTTCCTTCAAGATCCTMGGGAATTGAGTCAGGGTCCATGTGATTAGTAGAGATTGAACACAAATGCTTTTTTGGGCCTTGGAATTGACAAAAAAATTTTTTGCCTATCCAAAACCCTAAAACAGATTCTTAGGTATATGGCATATTTTGTCAAGTAAGTGGAAAATATGATTTACTGACAGAAATCAGAAAATCTGTAGGATCTGGGAGCATTTATAACACCAGTAGGGAGCATTGGCTTAACAGTGAAAATACAAAGCAAAATGACAAACACATTCCAGTAGCCATTTTTAGGAACTTATTTTGATTGTGTAATAAAGGTAATTATAATGAGCTCTTTATAACTAGAAGACAAAAGAAACTGGATCTTTTAAGACCTGTGATATTTTAAAACTCATTTTAAGTGACTGCAGCCTGGAATGGGGAGTAAAGACTCCTTGTTTGTCAAAGYAGAGTGACCAAGAAGTTACCAAATATAAATAATGGAACAAACACTGTTGCTTTCACAAAAGAGTAAGAGTGGTACAACCTGTGCTCTGCCCCAATGACCCTAAAAAGCAAAACACCCACAAATGGAACAGGAACTAAGTCCAAAAGTTCCTCATACTCATACTCTCCTCAGTAAAGAACTGTGTTTTAAAATAATTCATTTTCTCCATTTAGTTATAATAGTATAGAAGTTACTATGCTAAAATTATACCAAGAAAACCTTTAGCTGTTTTTTCTTATACTCATTTAAAAAGTCATTCTTTAGAAATCAGAAAATATACAATTATCAGTTTTTTTAAAAAAAGGAAATAATCAGCAATCCTACCAGAGATGATCACTATTTACACTTTGGAACTCTACAAACTTTAAGATTATACATCAGTGCATGTATAGGTATATTTAGAATCAGTCATACCTACTCTTTTGTAGTCTTTTCTTCTTAAACAYATATAAACATTTTTTATATCATAACATATTCTTTACTTATAGACTTTTATTCTTTTCTCATGCTTTCAATTCATTTTATTTTTATTTATTTTTTTTAAAATATTTTTTTAGTTGTAAGTGGACACAGTACCTTTATTTTATTTGTTTATTTTTTATGTGGTGCTGGGGATCAAACCCAGTGCCTCACGCATGCTAAGCAAGCACTCTGCCACTAAGCCACAACTCTGGCCTCAATTCATTTTAAATATATTTAATCACTTTAAGATTCTCGTTTCTTAGACTTCTTCTCAATAATTTTGTTATTGTTTTTGGAGTCTCAGTGTAAGAAGGACAAACATCTAAATGTYCAAAAACATCAAAAAATTTTGCAATTTTGTTGTTGATCACTCTTGCTCATGAAGAATTTTATGCCTATTAATTTTGCACTCGGCACTCAAGTTTGGTAAGGCTAACTAGAGAGCCTGGTTGTGTGTGTCTGGCTCCTAAAGGGTTTTACATTTGATTTGCAAGGTGTCCCAGAGGTATTATCAGTCCAGGATTACTACTTCAGTTCCTTTATTAGGTGGGGGTTCTTGGGCTATACCACAGAGATTGCAAACATTCAAACCCTGAAACTATGAAAGCAGGCTAGTGATTTCAAATTTCTCTAGGCTAAGACAAAGAATTCCTTTGTCATCTTTCTGTGTGATTATAGATTTTTCTTTTCTTTTTAAAGTATTTAGTTTTTAGTTGTAGTTGGACACAATACACTTATTTTATTTATTTGTATGTGGTGCTGAGGATCGAACCCAGGGCCTTGCACATATGAGGCAAGCGCTCTACCACTGAGCCACAACCTCAGCCCCTAGGTTTTTATTTTCTAGTCTGCTTTTCGCTGAAGGTTAGTTCTTTTGGGAGGAAGGAGGTATTGGAGTTATCCGCATTATTTTCAAGAAACTTCATGAAATGTTATTCAATATAGTTCTTAATGTGTTTATTATTCCATCTATGCATGAACTTTAATTTATTTAACTCCTTCCTTATTATTCATTAGTTAATACTTCAGTATTAATATATTCAGTAATACTTCATAGTTGCACTGTTTTATGCACTAAGGGTATCATAGTGGAAGAGACAAAATCTTATCCTTATGTTTTTGGTGGTGCTGGGGATAGCACCCAGGCCTCATGCGTGTCAGGAAAGTGCTCTAACACTGGGCCACATCCATAGCCCCAAAGTCTTAACAGAATTTACCTTCAAGAGTGTGAGATATTTTAGGCATTTCAGATATTATTGGAAATTTCATTTGTTTAAAATCTTTTCAATGATAAATAATTTACATTGAACATTCTTAATGGTAATTTCATATTTAATCCTCAAAATGGGATTTTTGAGATGTTTAGATTTCATAACTTATTAGGCCCAGAATAGAATAGTCAGGGCTCAGGTTAGTCACAACTTACCTAGACTTAGTGACATAGGTTGACAGCAGCCTATAACAACAAAAGGATTTTCCTCTGAAAGCTATTCCACAATACAGAGACATTGTGAGATCCCTAGAGAAAAAAAAGAGTTTAAAGAAAATTAAAGTAATGAATCACCAAGAGTTATATTTTAAGCCAGGTTAGGATGGCTTTGTAATATTAAGAGAAACTAAATAAGAGTTAGGTGATTTGGCTTCGCCATTGCACTTCCACCACTAACAAACCTAAGGATCTCAATTTTTCAGAGCTTCTCTCTTAATCTACAAAATTGAAATTTGTTCTGCCAAGCTGATAAGTTGTGAGAATCACCTAATTATCCTTCATATTGTGGAACTGTTGCTGGGAGATGGCTGCCAGGCTATGGCCTAAATCTCTCTCCTTCCTTGCATGTGGGGAAAACAAAGGCTGGGTCCTAACAATTGAATATGAGTGGAAGTGGTATGTCCCATCTAGGCTGAAGCAATCATGAAGTGGGTATGCCTTTTCCATTCTCTTTTTCTCCTTCTCCTTGTAAGACTCCATGGGAAAAGGATAGATTAGATGGTGAAGCTTTTTCACACATGGAGAAAAAGCTGTCTACTGACCAAAGATGCTCTAGGTTGGGTTATTTGTGAATGAGAAATAAAATTCTACCATATAGGCTAAGAGATGATGTAGCTCAGCGATGGAGCACTTGCCCAGTGTGCACAGGCTCTGGGTTTAATCCTCAGCACTACAAGWAAATAAATAAGATGGGGCTGGGGTTGTGGCTCAGTGGTAGAGAACTTGCCTAGCATATGYGAGACCCTGGGTTCGATCCTCAGCACCACATAAAAATAAAGAAATAAAATAAAGATTAAAAAAAAAGAAAAGAAATAAGAGCTTCAGCCATATTAAGTCACTAAAATGATTTTATTTATATTTTTTGGTGTTGGGGATTGAAACCAGGCTTTGTGCAGGGAGCATGTATTCTGCTATTAAGTTATACTGCTRGCCGTTGAATTTTTTTGATAGAATCTTGCTGCRTTGCCTAGGCTGGTCTTGAACTCCTGGGCTCAAGTGATTCTCCTGCCTCTGCCTCCCAAATAGTTGGGACTACAGGCACACACCACTGCATCCGGCTTGGCTACTGAAAATTTGAAGTTTATTTATTAAAATGTCAAGCATTATTCTAATTAATAGACCAAGTAAAAAGCCTGGGATATCTCCATAGTAATGAAACAAAGTTTCTCAGAATACATAAAAACCAACATCCCTCTGGGAATGAGTTAATAGGAAATTCTGTAGATAAGAAAAATATAAAATCATAGACACTAGGAAAATATTTCAAAAGGCAGCTATATAAATTCACATGGATCCAAGACAGTTTCTATCTTTTGTAGCTCACTGGAAGAGGGGGAGGGAAAAAAACTGTATCTGAAGAATCCATTCTGCAAAATATGGTTCCTTTTATTATTTATTTATTTTTTCCATGCTGGGRATTGAATCAAGGGYCTAGGGCATGATGAGCAAGCACTCTACCACTAAGCTACATCCATGGCCCCCATTGTTCCTTTTATTTATTTATTTATTAAATATTTTTTCATTAGTTGTTGATAGTCATTTATTTATTTATTTATATGTGGTGCTGAGAATCGAACCCAGTGCCTTAGACATGGTAGGCAAGCACTCTACCACTGAGCCACAACCCCAGCCCCTATTTATTTGTTTTTTAAAAGATTTTTTAAAAAAATATGGACACAATATCTTTATTTATTTTTTATGTGGTGCTAAGGATCGAACCCAGTGCCTTACATGTGCAAGGCATGTGCTCTATCCATGAGCTACAACCCCAGCWGGGTTTCTTTTAAATTGTATGTCAGTAGTATTTTCTTCCCCATGAAAATACCTTTCATATTAGCAGCAAAAAAAAAAATCACAAATTTTCAATGAAAAAAATGGGAAAATCAGTACAGCTAAATAATAAGCCATCCCTTTAATTGTGCCCAAGGGAAGCAAGCTTTGACCTTAACCTACAAAGGAATAAGTAAAGTTTGAGGTCTACTTCTTGGTTGCATAATTATGAGTCACTGGTGACTAATCCTTGGATAGTTTTAGCTGCAATCTATGTCCTAAGCAAGGGTAAAATATATTTAGCAATGGGAGTCAACAAAGCATTTGTTGAATATTGACTTTATACAGGGTCTCTCTTAAGGAGCACAAAAATTTATAGGATGAAAATTCCTACATTCAAGAAACTTTAGCAAGAGAGAGAATACAAATATATAACTAGCTTTCACAGAAAGCAATATGTGATATGTGGGTTGCAAAGCACTCTTTGAGACAGTATTTAAAGGTAAAATCCCCATTTTAATAACCCAGGGATTTGTGTGATATATTGGGAGAAATGTATTTTCAGTCAATATTTATATTTGACGTAAATATTTCTAGTTCATATACAATTCAGAAAATGTGAATTGAAACAATATTTTTAGAGATMAATTTAGGAATACTTATTAAAATGTTAAATAAGCATTCCTTTCACCTAACAATTCTACTTCTAGGAATTTAYTCTAGGAAGAGAAGGACATGTACAAGAATGTTTTAAAAATTATAATGAAATGGAATAACACACTTTGCTGTTAAAAATAAATAGAAAATAATATAACAGTTAAAAAAATATTTATGTAGTAATAGGGAAGTTTATTCAGAATCTATCATTAAGTAAGAAAAGCAAGGGGTCAATAGGAGATGTTGATCAAAAGCACTAAAATAATACTTTAGACAGGATAATTAAGTTAGACAGGATATTAAATTCTGGAGATCTATTGTATTGTATGATGATTATAGTTAATGTAKTATATATATGAAAATTACTAAGAATAGATCTTAAGTGTCCTTACTACAATTAAAAAAAAATCAAGGGCTTGGGTTGTGGCTCAGTGGTAGAGCACTTGCTTAGCATGTGTGAGGCACTGGGTTTGATCCACAGCACCACATAAAAAAATAAATAGGGCTGGGGATATAGCTCAGTTGGTAGAGTACTTGCACAAGGCCCTGGGTTCAATCCCCAGCACCATAGTAAATAAATAAATATTTTGTTAAAACAAAATAAAGGTATTGTGTTCATCTACAATTGAAAAAAAATCACAAGAATGTGAGGTGATGGATTAGTTTGATTTAATAACTTCATAATAAATGCATGTATCAAAATTGTCTGATGCATATATATACATATATATAATTTTTACATATTATGTTATAGTATGTATATTACATATATGATTTTTATTTGCCAGTTATGCCTTAAACTGGAGGAAAAAAGTAAGTAATATTTGGTTGGTCAGCATGGTCTAATGAATTCATAAAGAAATGGACATATACATATATTCCAGAGTACATAATTTGTGTATTTGTTTATATTTTTCAAATGACTAGAAATACACATACCAAACTCTCTCTTTTTTTTTTAAGAGAGAGAGAATTTCAATATTTATTTTTCAGTTTTCGGCAGATACAACATCTTTGTTTGTATGTGGTGCTGAGGATCGAACTCAGGCGGCATGCATGCCAGGCGAGTGCGCTACCGCTTGAGCCACATCCCCAGCCCCATACCAAACTCTTAACGGTGACTAATTCGGGAGAGAGGGAAGGAGATTCTAAGGGCTGAAAGAGGTACTTGTAATTTTTACTTTATTCATTTCGGCACTTAATTTTTTTTCTTTTTGCAACACTAGGGATTAAAAAACCAGGGATGCTGTACTACTAAGCTACATCCCCAGCCGTTATTTTTAAAAACCTTTATTGATTTATCTTTACGTGGTGCTGAGGATGGAACCCAGTGCCTCACCTGTGCTAGGTGAGTGCTCTACCACTGAACCACAACCCTAGCCCCTCGCCAGCCCTTTTTATTTTTATTTTGAGACAGGRTGTTGCTAAATTGCAGAAATTGGCCTTCAAACCGTGATCTTCTTGCCCCAGCCTACCAAATTGCTGAGATTACAGGTGTGTGCCACCTTGTCCAGTTTGCACTTAAACATTTTTATAACGGTATGTACTTATTCCTTTTTGAATAAAAGAAAGTATCATAAAATAGTAGTTCCTGGGACTAATTGGTCAATGAGTCTGTTTCTTAGCCACTGTTACTGGAAATACCTCAGCATATTCCCTGTGAGTCAAAGGGAATTCCTTTGGAGTATTTTTTGGATCCTGGGAACTGCAAGAACTATTTGGTTGTGGTTTTAACTACTGACAAATCTATGAAGCCCAGTGTACTTGGCTGTCTGATGTTTTGCCCAGTTTCTGCTACCAGCCTATGGCTGAATTATCATGGCTGACTTGGGTTTTTTTTTTTTCCCTTTAAAGTACATAGCCTAATAGAAATGAAAAATAATATTACTTTTATCAAAAACTAATAAATGATGGGGCTGGGGGTGTGGCTCAAGTGGTAGCGCGCTCGCCTGGCATGCATGCGGCCCGGGTTCGATCCTCAGCACCACATACAAAGATGTTGTGTCC